TTATTTTTTTTAGCTCACAGGTCAGACCAAAATATGTGAGAGGCCAGATTGGGCGCATGGGCGGTTGCTTGCTAGCCTCTCGTCTAAAATGTCACAGCTCAGACATCTCATCAGGCATCCTCTAAGTATTTACTGAAGGCGCTTCCATACTTGGCACTGAGTCGTGCCTGCAGAGATCTGCCATGCCCCCTGGCTTTTGGTCCCCTCTCCACAGGAAGTTTGCAGGTGTTATTCCCACTGCCAAGGACACCTTCCCTCCCAGCTTCACGGGGTCAGCTCCCAGTCCCCTTGATCCTCACTTCCCGTGGAGACATCCTGACCCAAAACGCGAGAGTAATCACCCTGCTTATCGTTCTCAGGACACCGGGGATCTCTCCTTTAAAGCAATTAAAAACGAAACTCTCTGCTGACCCCGGCTCATCGTGACCCTCTTGGACAGGCTAGAACCGGCTCCGTGGGTTTCCGAGGATGCAACTCTTTCTAGGTGTAGAACGCATCATCCCCTGCCCCCCATGGAGCAGACTGGTGGTTTTGAACTGCTGACCTTGCAGTTAGCAGCCCAAGGCATAACCACTCTGCCACCAGGATTCCTCTCTTTTAGGACCCCTGCTACAGCTGTCATCATACATTTATCTGTGTGACTCTTTCCCGGATGTCTCTCTTTTACTAGGGGACAAGTGGCCTGCTGTAGCCAGGCCTTGAGTAGAATCCTACTCCGGTGCCTCTGTGGAAGCTGCCTTATCCGGAGAGAAGAGCGGGCCTTGGAGAGACTTCTGTCCACTCGGACTCAGCTCTCCTCCACGCCCCCATCTTTCTCACCTCCCCTTTGCCCCGGGTCCTACAACTCCAGGAACTTTTTTTTTTGGGGGGGGGGGCTCCCTCAGCTGTAAGACGGGTAGTTATATCTGCTCGGATTCTCCTGACCCTTGCTGAGGCACTCCAAGTGCTATTACCCTGCATCTGGGGGATGCAGGAAGAGGGGAGCTGTTGCCTTCTCTGGCTTATACTAGTGCAGTGGGCGGGTTAAGGCCTGGCCGAGACTTTACTTTGGTCTTGGCTTAATTGACCATTGGGACACCTGGCAGCTGAGCTCAGAGCCCTCAGCTCAGCTTCCTGAGAAGTAGATGTGCCCCAGGGCTGTAGTGAGGACTAAATGAGAATGAGAGAGTGAGAGAGAGAGAGAGAGAGAAAGTTCCAACACAGCACAACTCAGGTCAGCACAGGGCTTCGGGGGCTATCTCATGCCACTCTCTTCGCTCTGGGCTTGGGGGAGTGGTCTGGGGAGCCTCTCTGGATCACCCACTAGATAATGGGCACAGCCTGGCCTGGGCACTGTACTGGGAAGACCCCTACTACAGCCCTCTGACATTCTTCCTACCTGTACAACCTCCTCCTGGGTCCTGGCCTCTGTCCACACTAGGGGCAGAGGGCACAGCTGAGGACTGGTTTTGAAAAGAAGAGAGGGTCTAGGAGCCAAAATGTTGGGGGCTGGGTAGAGGGAGGGAGGGGGCACAGGACAATGCTCCCCTCCCAGCTCGATGGGTTCTTCCCAGCAGTGACCTTGCCTCAGTTTCTTCATATGTAACATGGGGTTCAGAGGGCCTGCTTTGTGGGGCTGTGAGCAGACCCTGCACTGGATTTAAAGGACCAGGACATAGTAACTTCCAAAAAACGTGCATCTCAGGGGTGGGAGAGGAAGGGCAGCAGGAGTCCGATTACCATAGTCAAGGCCCTTCTGGGTGATCCTGGCCACGAAGCCGGGGTTGGTGGTCGCTGCCGAGGTTGCATGCATCGCAACCAGCACCACCAGGGCTGCCCATCTGGCCATGGCCTCGTCCTCCAGAGCCATTAATGTTTTGGGCCCTTGGAAGAGAACCAGGACTTATAAAGGAGCCGGTAGGAGAAACACAGGTCAGCCAAATATAGAAGAAAGGTAGGAAGTGGGGCGGGGATTTAAGGCTGCGATTCCCCATAGAGCTGCAGCAGGGGGTGGGGGCTGCGGTTGGGAACCAAGGGCCTCATTCCATTCCCTAAGCCCCTCCCTCCAAACACCTACCCATTGAGAATGATGATGGCAACAAATGTTCAAATGTGCTTGACACAATGGATGGGTGGATGGCTTGTGATAAGCATTGTATGAGCCCCCAATAAAATGATTAAAAAATAAATAAAAACCACCTACCGAAACCCCATCTCGGGATTTCATTGAATTGGGTGGTAGGTACATCAGGGCTCATTATATTTTTGCTACTGAGAGACTGAATAGTCAAAAAGATAATGATCAGACCCTATTACAAAACTCATAAAAACAGCAACCAGCCCAGGCAGTCAAACCACCCTCTGCAGCTGCCAGTCCAGGGAGCTGAATGGCAGGCCCGGGACAATGGGCTGCAAATCGCCAGGACGGGATTAATAATTGACAGCTTCTTTAATTTGTCCCCTGCTTCCAGTTTAGGACAAAGGAGAGAAAGCCAAATATGCCTGCTTTCCTCACCAGTCATGGAGAACTTACTGGAACCCACTTCTTGTTCGCTGCCTCCAGCTTCCCCATACCAAAGCCCACCCACCTTTTTCAAAGTTGCTATAAAGTGTTTCCAGTCTCTGCCAGACATTCGCGACAGTGGCTCACTCCCTTGCTCCAACCAGCTCTGAATAAGTAGCCCCTGTTTTCATCTGGGTGCTGTTTCCACACGGCTTGTGATTTCTGAAATGATCCCAGGTGGGGCAGTGGCTAAGCACCTGGCTGCTCACTGAAAGGTCAGTGGTCGCAGTCCACCAGCTGCTCCGTGGGAGGAAGGCGTGGCCCTCTGCTTCCGTGGAGACCAGGGCAGCTCTAGTCTCTTGCTAAGAGTCTGCACCCACTCCAGAGCAAAGGGCTTGGACTTCTTTGATCTCTTCCACCGTAAGTGTTTGAGACAGTGGAACTGCTAACATTTCCTTGGCCATAGAGGCTGTAGTGGCAGAGAGGAACGCTCGGATTTTAGACCCTAACATCTTGATTCTGTCACTCGCTTGCGGTCGCACCATGAATAAGCCTTATTGCCACTCCAGTCCTCAGTTTTCTCTTCTGTAAAGTGGAGACAACAATAGTGCCTACTCTCCCTGGGTTACTGTGATGAGTACTTAGCAGAGGACCCCCTAAATACTAAACACCCAAATGGAAGCTATCAGTGTTACTCTGCTTTTAAAAACTGATCCATGTTCATTGGGGAAAAGTTTGGGGTTTTTTTTCCCAACAGTTTAATTGGCATATGATTTGCATATCTTACAATTCGATAGTTCAATCACATCAAGAAGAATTGTACAATCATCACCACAGCCAGTTTTAGAACATTTTCTTCATTCTTGTACTCAACGCTATTAGCTCCCCATTTCCCCCCAACCACCCCTGCAAACCCCCCACAAAGAACCACGCATTCAGTGACTGTCTCTGTAGAGGCACTTCTCCTGGATTTCACACGCAGAAAAACGTTTAAAAGCAAACAAACAGCAACAACAGAAAAAAATTCGTAGCAAGAATAACAAAGTAAAACAGATAAAAACCTCAATGAAAAAGAAAGAAAATATTAAAAACTAGAACAAGTTTAAGTGGATCATAAGGAAGATCAAATGATGGGGTGCGACATTTTAACCTAACTGCATCTCCAGCGATCCACGTTCCACTGTAGTCTGCATGTGATCAAGACTGTTCATACCCCGGTCTTCATGGGGACAATTTGAGAAAGCAGGGAGAGAATAGAATTTACATGCAGGCATACAGACAAAATTATAGTTGATACTATTTCTGCTGCCTTTTAAAAGCATAGTGAAAACTTTAAAACACATATGTACGTACACATGTGTACACACGCGTGTATAAGTCCTGGTGGCATAGTTGGTTACACGTCAGGGAGTGTGGTAGTTATGTTCTGCGTCAACTGGGCCAGGATTCCCAGTGGTTTGCCAGCTGAGACCTCCTCCAAGATGTGATCTAACATAATGTAATCAACTCCATGGCAGGATCTTGCTGTGAGCACCCAAGCAGTGGTGGGAAGGTTAGTGGAGCACAAAACCTGACTCGCGTCACAGCCCTGATGCAATTAGAAGTAAGTTTCATGTAAGTCAACACCGTGGGGAAGTTAGCTCACTTCTTACTGGTCCAGATTCTGCATCAGGCTCATCAGTGCATCGACTTTGGGAGCGATCAGTGGCACACCATATTGCCTGCTGACCTTGGATTCATTTGACTCTGCGGCCATAAGCCTGACTGTTGACCTCGGCCATAAGCCTGACTATTGACCTCGGATTCAGCCACCTCTGCTTCTGTGGCTGTGGGCTTCCTGCCTCTGTCAGCTCCAGCAGCCCCTGGACTTCACTGCTCCTAAACTGTGTGTGAGATGCTTTCTTGATAAATATACATCACTGTTTTTGCTCCACGGGCCCTGATGTTGCAGTGGTTATGTGTTGGACCGCTAACCACAGGGTCAGCAGTTCAAAACCACCAGCCACTCCTGGAAAGAACCATGAGGCTTTCTATGCCTGTAAAGAATCATAGTTTCAGAAACCCGAGAGGGCAATTCTAGCCTTTCCTACAGGATTGTTGTGAGTCAGCATTGCCTCGATGGCAGTGAGTTTGGTTTGGGTTTGGTTTTTGTTCCTGGTTGTTTTCTCAATATTTATTTATATATCCCTGTTTTTTCTTCTCTAGCGAACCCATACTAACACAAGTGGCTCGTCACAAGATAAGTAGTTCAAAACTGCCAGTGGCTCTGTGGGGGGAAGATGAGGCTTTCTGCTTCTGTAAGATTTACAGTCTGAGAAACCCACAGGGGCAGTCCTGCTCTGTCCTATAGGGTTGCTACGAGATGGAATCAACTCGGTGGCAATGGCTTTGAGATATATATATCCCATTTTTGTTTGTATATATGCACATATACACACATATACAATAAATACACACAATTTGTTTTGTATGTGTGTATACATATATGCACACAAGCAAAATCAGGATCACCCTGGTCAGGTTTTGTGCCTTTTTTCAATAAACAGCTTCGCACCTTTTTTCAATACAGGGTAAGTGGTGACCCTTCCCCCAGCTGTACGTGCTTACATACTCGTTGTGTTTCATTCCTACATCCACCCATAGGGGTCTTCACCGCACTTCGTTTCACACGATTTGACTCCTTCCTGTGGCAGATGAGGCTCAGGGAGGGAGAGGAAGTGTTCAGCCCAGGCACGCAGCCGCCTGCTAATGCTGCCAGTCCTGCTGAATTCGAAAGATGCTCCAGGGCTCCTCCCACACCCGGCGGGGTCCTTCAGAGCCTTGGCGAGCCGGGTCACGTGGGCACTCCCCACCCTTAGCCCAGCTTTCAGCTCAATGCCTGTGCCAACCCTCCTCTGCAACAGCCTCAGGCCCTAGGTGGGCGGGTGGGCGGACACCCGCAGGGCACCAAGCCTGGTCTCCCTGGTGATGAGAGAAGGGGCGGAGGCGGAGGAGGGGGCAGCTGGCTTCTCTCCTGCTGGGTCCTCATCAGCCCCCTGGTGCCCTGTCTCTCTGGTTCTGATTTTATGAATGTTTAATGAAGAGGGCGTGAGACCTCCTGAAGAGGTTCTTTTTTTTTTCCTTCTCCTAGTTTAGTTTCCCCAAAAGGTCTTCTTCCTAGCACATTTGCAAAGACTGGAATCCTTCTGGCTTGCAAAGACAGCAGGAGCTAGGCACAGGACGTCTGCTGTGGGCCAGAACCTGGGCCTGGATCATCTCCAGGCCCAGACACGACCAGGGAAGGGGGGACACTCAGTCTCCATTTGGGAGAGGGGGAAACTGAGTCACAAAGGGATTTAGGTCCCTGTCAGAGTTACGCTCGCTTGTCGGTGGTGAGAAGACTTGCTTCCTCTGAGTGGGGCAGTTCCAGAGAGTGCCACCTGCATCCTCGCCCCAGCGCCACCTGACTTCAAATAGCTGCAGCCCCCAGACAGCCAGAGGCTGTGTTTGTACCAGGAAGGGAGCTCTAAGGGGCAACCACAGAGACGGAGGCCATCTCATAGACCGGAGCTTTGAAGAATTCTCGCGCATACTCCTGAGCACCTCCATCTAGCTCGATTTGCCCCAAATTTCCGAGTCCTCCCCCGGGGCCCAACCAGATGGCACTTCGGTGAGGATGGTCGTCTGGGAAGGAGCCTTGAGAAGAAGCTCACACGATGGTGACTTACCTTGCCCTCAAATCAGAGCCTTAAAATCAGCTGACAATCTCCTGAGCAAGCCACCCCCACTGGCTCCCCAACCTCTGTACTTTCTATGCCCTGCCCCTGGCCAACCCTTCCTCCATGTTCCCAAACTCCGCCCTCAAGCTGGGGTCCCTCATTAGACCCAAATGTGCAGGTGTTTCCCCAAGGCCAGCCTTGTGGTTGCTGAGACCCC